ACTTACCTCTCAGTGAGTTCATGCAGCCCAGCGTGGCCAACGTCTTTCCTATGAGGTTTCTAAACAGCCAGAGCGGCCCCACCTGGGCTCTCCTGTCGCTCCTTCTAACCTAAGCCCTTCCTGTGTTTCCGTGGCCCCAGCTGCAGCAAATGTACTCTCAGAATCCCCCAGACTGATGAGAGAGCTCTGAAGAGGGACAGTGGGGATGGTTGCACAACAAGGTGAATTTACTGAATGCCCTGAGATTTACACTTAAAAATAGTAAATGTGGCCTTAGCCAATTTTGCTCAGTGGTTAGAGCCAGACTGGCAATAACACACAAAAACATTGGTGTCGACACTGTTTCAGTGCCATGAATTCTGCTTGATTCACCACAGAACTGCTAGGTGGCAGGAATTCTTTGTCTGGTTCAGACTTCCCCTTAAGTTAGAGTACAGGCTAAGAAATCAACTCTTATTATTATCTTGATTTTACAAATGAGGAAACTGAGGCATGGGGAGATTACATCTTTCTGTAAGAATCTGAATCCAGTTCTGATTCTACAGTTCATTGCAATGTTGGGCTGACACCCAGCTCTGTCACTGATTTTTTGTGTAACCCTGAGCAAAGCGTATGCTCTTGTGACTCTGTTTCCTCTCATGTAAAGTGAGAGAAATGAACTAAAAAAATATTTTGGGTAAATATATTTGGGGGAGGTAGGAACAGGCAGTGGGTCAGAGGCGGTCTTTAGATTGAGTTAGAACCTCCAGTGAGTTTATGATCCATGAAGGGTTAAGAAATGCCAGACAGCCTGGCTGTGTGCCTCGGTGGTTGAGTGTCAACCCATGAACCAAGAGGTCACCTGTTCGATTCCTGGTCAGGGCACATGCACAGGTTGTGGGCTTGATCCCCCGGAGCAGTGCAGGAGAGGGCCCATCAATGAGATTTCTCTCTCACTGATGTTTCTATCTCTCTATCCCTCTCCCTTCCTCTGTCTCTAAAAAAAAAATCAATTATGAAAGAAAGAAAGAAGAAAGAAAGAAAGAAAGAAAGAAAGAAAGAAAGAAAGAAAGAAAGAAAGAAAGAAAGAAAGAAAGAAAGAAATAAATAAATAAATAAATAAATAAATGCTGGGCAATATGCTCTCAAAGGTCCATGCCAAGGGTCAAGTTTCTAGTCAAGTTGACACCAAATGATACACTTACCATTGTGTGGAAAACCAAGTGTGCCTTACAGAGAACAGTCTTGGGTACAATTCAGTCTGACCTGTGGTCAAGGCTAAGCATGATATTGATGACATTGGTCTTAATTCTAGGCTTGAGTAGAAGGCATCTTTCTAACATACCTCGTACTCTTGTCCTGGAACTACGCAGTCCTGGGCTGTCCCCCATGTCCTAACTTGCCCAGGGAAGTTCCTCTCACCCCTGCCCCACACAAGGTCCTGTTGCTACAGCTTCAATCTCTAAGCCCTGACTATTCACACCCTGAGAAAGCAGTTAGTAGTTATTACAGGAACTGCCAAGAGAATCTATAGCAGATTCTGTCTGAAGCAGCCCTTGCCTAATTTTCCAGGAGTCTGGCTCTTTGCAGCTGTATCTGGTCTCTTGATGTTTCCCCGGAATAGGTTGCTGTCCTTCTGCTCACTGCCAGCCTCACTATCAGTTCTGTGCTAACTCCCATCTCCTCCAGCCTTGACATCCAGCAGCCAACTCTGCTCCTCCTACCTGCCTCCACATCAAAGGCACTGACAAGCTGTTCACAGCCATTGGCCTTGAGCATCCTGAGTGACAGTCCTCCTCACATGACAGCCCAGTTAACTCTATGCAGGTCATAAACTTTGCCAGGTTGTGCAAGAAGTGTGCAAACTGCTTTTGAGTGCTGTAATGTTTGTCAAGCAACATCTTACAGAAGCTCAACCCATGTTAAAACCATCAGAATGGCAGGATGTTAGGGAGAGCACCCACATCTTGTGGGGAACTTGTGGGCAATCGGGTAGTGTGCCAAGATCACATGTAGTAGTCTGGAGGAAATGAAGGGTTGACCCCAGGAAGGTAGGTGAGAGTGAGAGTTCAGTGGGCAGGAACTCAGGCCAAGAAACAACATGAGAACACAGGCTCTGGGAACGCAGGCTTCTCGGGGAGGGCACTGGGCTTCCTGTGGTTGTGGGAGAGAGGCAGGCGCCAAAACTCTGAGGCCTGAGTGACCCCAGCTGACATCTGGATAACATCTGTTACACAAAAGGGCCTGTCCCAGCAAGAAAGCAGTAACCTCAGCAGAGCTTTCAAACACCCAGGAGGATTTTTTTAAATAGCTTTAGAGAGATTTTTTTCACAACAACAAACTCACTAACAAGCCACCCAACTCAGCTGTGGCTCAGACATACCCCAAGATACACATGGCCATCATATTTAATCATAACCTAATATTTAATGCCATGTTTAGTATGAGCCAGTCACTACATTGTGATTTTACACATAGTCATTCATCTAATTCTTATAACAATTCCTTGGAATAAATACCATTATCATCCACACAGCAGCCAGAAGGAGTTGCTCCAACACCCTCCCAGGGTCAAGCCCAACCCCCCAGGCCCACAAGGCCGTGCACTCCTGTCCCCCCACCCACTCCCTGTCCTCATGTCCTCCCTCTCTCCTCCTTCCTCACTCTGCTCCAGCCACTCAGGCCTCAGGCCTCCTCACTGTTCCATGAACATGCCAAGTAAATCCTTGCCCCAGGACCTTTGCACATGCTCTTCCCTCTACCAGAGAGGCTCTTCCCCCTGAAGCACAGCATAGCTCACTCCTCACCTTCTTCCATTCTTTATCTAAATGTCACCTTCTGAGGGAGGCTTCTCAATCTAAAATGATAACCCCTTCACCACATGCACATATATAAAACTTACCACCATCTGACATACTACTGAATATACTTTATTGCCTTATCTTTACTGTCAGCCTAGCCCATCAGAGCAGGGATTTGTGTCTGGTTGATTCACTGCTGTGACCCACAGTGTTTGGGACAGTGACTAGTACACAGTCGGTGCTCAGTAAATGTTTGCAGAATGAATGAATTTGTAATAAAAGAAAAGACAGGAAGAAGTCGGGCCAAAGGCCAAGCTCCACAGTCCTTAAGTGGCAGAAGCCAGATTCAAACCCAGGCAATCCAACCTTGCAGGCTTCCTAACCACTGTGCTCCTTTCTCCTAACACACCCTTTTGCACAGTCACAAAGGCACACATCAGCTAACACACTAACATACTCATAAACACACATAATCCTTTGCAGCCAGGAGCATCCATGAGGACTGACCCACAGGCACCCCCCACACTCAGGCCCATCCTTAGCACCTAGGCTCCTGGTCCCAAGCCCTCACCTCCTCAAGGGCCAGGCCCAGCACCCCAGGCAGGAACTAGCCCTTGGTCTGCATCCTGTGGTAATTCACATTCAGCTTTCTGGGGCAGCTCAGGCTGTTGTGGCACCGGGACATCCGCTAGTAGGCCACTACAACTATTGGCCACCCACTGGGGTCCAGGCTGGTGACGACCAGGTCCAGTGCCTCACACTGGGAAGGGAAAGCTGGGGAGAGTTGCTGGTGTGGCCAAGGGTGCAGCCACACAAACCCTCTTGCCCCTCCTGGGCCCTCTCAATGGGTGGCATCTCCGCAGCACCCCATAGCTGGCGAACCTGGGGAGCGTGGAGCAGGCTGTTGAGGACAGTCCCCACTGAATCCATGACCCAGGCCCGCACCCCAGCCTGGCCCCGCGCTCCTCCAGCTTCCAGGTCAGATACTGGCAGCCAGGCACCTTGGCACAGCACAGGCTGCAGGAGAACAGATTTCCCCCACCACCCTCCCCCCTTTCCCTTA